AGTATGAAATTCACGATAGTAATTTATTATCTCCTCATTATTAGGGAGTAATATTATAAATTAATTCAATATATTGAAATCAAATCAAAATCAAAAATATTTATTCAGTTTAGACCACAAGTGGCACTTATAATTTAATTAATCAGGTTGTCATGTCATGGATGAAATTACACTAAAAACTAATTAAAACAAAAAGGATGGGGAAAATATTCCATTATTCTGTGGTAACGCTAACAAAATTAACGCGTGAATTTTTTATAGACAAATGTAATTCAATATAAAAAAGTAGGGTAAAATATTCCGTTGACCTGTGGCAACACTTACAAAATACAACCGTGATTTTTTTTGAAAATTATTATTTAATTAAAATGAATTGGAAATGTGCTACTTACGGATAAAACATGATCCCATGCACTTTCTTCGTAATTCCAGTAGCATTCTTACATGTTGGAACGGCACAAGACGGCATAATTTAATTATAAAGTGTCAATCTGACGGATATGTAAACAATGCGCGCGCCGGCCATTGACTAATTGCTCTAAAGTCAAATTAGTGCGATTTGGAGTAATTTATATGAATACACATTTACGCCCGTTGACGGTTTCTGGTTTGTTCCGTATTCTGAGTATTCTGGTGAGAAAAACAATCTGCTGTTCATTATATGATACTACATCATCATCATCAGCTCATTCAGTCTTCACTGCAGGAGCACGACTCTCTAATTTACCAGAGGCAAATGATGTTTTGGCCTTTACACCAACTAAGCTAAATATATTTTTATTGGAAACTTCGTACGCGTGAGAATAATATTTCCCGTTTTTGAAAATTTTGTTGGATTGGCCATTTTTCGAGGAAGGCTTTAGGATATCTTACTAATATTATTTAAGTTTGTATGGAAGTCTGGATGTCTGGATGTTCATCATCATCATCATCATCATCACACTCTTTCACGCAAAATGAAAAAAATCTTTCAGTAGTGAACGAATTTTGATTATACTTTACAGTATTATTGTTACAGTATTATTGTACCCAGAATAACATATAATATAATATAATATAATAGGAATATATTATAGGATATAATTTATGACGATATGTGACAAACTAAATTTCACACGGGTGAAGCCGCGAGCAAAAGCTAGTTTAACATCATTTTACGACCAATAGGAGCATGCCAATGGAAAATGTTGCAAAAAGGGCAAATTATTCAAACCATTTTCACGCGTACGAAGTCACAGCACAGCTTGTCAATAAGCTTCAACTGCTTCTGAGTTACGCTCTTTTCAACACTAGTGGAAACTACGCAACGCGTTGAATTATGTGGTGTTAAGTCGGATTGAAATGCAAATTATGGCTGTAGATTCGATATTTATTATGACATGAATAAAACAGACATTTAGTCGCCCTTTGCGGATGGTAATTGCATAAATAAATACCTTGTTTGGATGATATATAGGAGCATTTGCGTATGAGGGTCAATTTCCCAAACACATTTTTTGAGCGGCGTAGCTGAAAATCATATGTTTTTTATGACATAGAACTTTGATTTTTTTTTACACGAAAATATACATAGGTTCCATTTTGAGGACAACATTATTAATGAGTATTTTCTTTTACAAATTCGACAAAAAATAATTGAACTAAGCGTTTCTAATTTTGGTGCAGTGTCCACATCCTTAATTTCTTACAATATGTATTTTTTTAGCTGAAGATCAAAACAGAACTTAGGGAAAAAGTATATTTTTGGATTATACAATCTATCTATTATCTAAGATTACCAAATTAAGCAAGTTTCCCAAATAACTGTGATTAAGTCACGTCCTTAAGTTTTGTCCGCGAAAAATTTATGATTTTGGTGTCAATAATGAAATAGCTCGTCAGTTTCTTTAAAGATCAAACAGGATTTAAACACTCCCATCATTCGTTAGGTTTAGTACCGCCCCCGCGAGCAGTGACGGCAGACGGGTGCAAGACCTCTGCGTCTTCCCGCCAAAAACGTAAATGTGTTGTTTTTTTTTAAACGGACAACAATTCTGCAATTTTGGTGTCTTTTTGTATAAGATTTCTAAGCTATTCTTTTTAGTTGAATTCCTCGTATAATGTAAAGGAACTGTTTTCATACCATGTGTTAAAATGTTATTGTTATATTTAAAACAGATTTCATATAATTTAGCTTTTTCAACGAGAATCTAATTTTGGTGAGTCAATTTTGGTGTTTTTGGTGGTGCACCAAAGCATTTTTAACCGACTTAACTCCGTCAATTGTGAACCGATTTTCAAAATTCTTTTTTTGTTCTATAGGGTACACTTATGTGGTGGTCCCATTGTCACCAAGTCAGGATCTGATGATGGGATCCTAGGGAAATCGAGAGTAAACCTCAAATTTTGTAGGAATGCAATACGTTTTCTAAAGTTATTCAAGTAGTCATCATCTAATGTTGATGAGGTGATGATGGAAGGTAAAACTCCTTAACGCTTAGGAGTTGGAGGATAATTCTTTAAATATTTTAGGTAGGTATGTACATACAGTTGTATTATTTCAGGTATTTAAGATGAGCTGATGATGAAAGGTCAAACAACATAAGTTAGGAGTTAGATGATACTCAATACTCATTTGTTGATACATACATTGACACACGATACATTGATACTTTTTAGTTGCCGATATTTAAAGTAGGAAGCCTGTATTTTGCTAGGAAGATTATTTACACTTGGATTGTGATTAAGACTATAATTTTCCATTACAAAATGGAAAATTATAGTCTTAATCACATTAAACATAGGTATTGTCCCTCTTCAGTGACAATAACAAGGACTAATCAACTAAAAAGCATGAAAAAAAATAATTTTAACAAAAAAATTAAAACCGACGCCAACAATCACTTAAAAGTAGAAAATAAGTACGTCGTTATTTAATTATTAGGACAATATACCATGATTAATATTTTTGGAGTCGGTGCTGGTAAATTTAAAACCATTTCTTGAGCTTGGCACTAAGATATGACCGACTGACAGCATATTTTCTAATTTTGGTGCTTTAATATAAATTTTGGTGTTCTCTTAATTTTGGTGTAAGGAAAATCTAAAAAACTACTGGACAAAATTTTATGTCTTAATCATTTTAGAAACAGTATAAGTTTCCAAAAAATTTGATCTATAATTAAAGAATAAAAATACACAAATAACAATTTCCACCAAAATTAGGCAAAAATATGCACTTGTTGAAATTCACCCATGAATAGGAGATGGCTACTTGTTACATTATGCACATCCTTAAAATACATGGTCTTGCGTTTAATTCAGTCAGTGTATGGGAGCGGCACGGGACATTGACATATTACCTTTGACGTGACAGAGCATACCTGACATCTCGCTGACGTTTGACAGCTCAAAAACACGTTCCCGTGCGTGATCACAGGCGAATGGAAAACCTGTTTAAATTATAGTTCTTGCAACTCACGAAGGCGAGTGAGCTTTACTTGTGTGTGTACGTTAGGGTGTCCCTTATAAGGCCGAAAAAAAATTTTTTTTAGATATTGAAATGCATACCCCCTATTTCTTTTCGTACTACTCAGACACACTTAAATACAAAATTTCATCTTCCTACGTCAACATTAACCCGTGCCGACCGAGCTCTGAAGATTTTGAAAAATGCTGGTTTTACCCCTTTCGTTATGTAGCTAAATCAATTAAAATATTTATTTTTTATAAAATATTTATAAAAAGAAGATAACATTACAGATACGACAATATATTTTACTTTTGAGGGACCCTTTTTTACATTCTGGATATAGATTTCCATGCTCCTGAATATTGGCCTGATTTTTGCTATACTGTGCGTAGCAAAAAAAGCTTTTGCTCTTCCTTGCAGTGATCAAACCATGAAAATCTTGCATAAGCTTTATAGCTCCTTCAGCTGTATCATTAACTACCCTTAGAGAAAGCACTTTTTTGCCTTTAAATAGGCAACATCTTTATCTCGTATAGAAATGTGTCTCAGGGGGAAATTATTATCAATTTTAAATCAAAAAAATAAATTTATACTCTTGACAGACACAAAACCACTCAATGGTTTTCCAGCAACAATAAATAAAGCAGTATTATTATCAACTCATTAAAAACATGCTAAAAATTAGTACAAAGTTCTATTTTACCATAGAAATAATCATACCTTCTTCAGACGGAATGTATCTCTTCCCAGAATCATACATACTCTCTCTTTGTACTTTTACTACAATATTTTATTTCTTTTTAAATCCTCCTCACTGCGGCGCTTAAAATCTTGATTTTTTTAAAATAATTTTTCTTGCAACTCCCTCCAAGCATGGTGAAGATACACAAGTTTTTTTACACAGTAAGGCTCTGGTAGGATTTATAGCTTTTCCCAAAATATAATACACTCCCGAATGATGAGATTAGAGCTTTCAAGAACATTTAATTAACTTCGCAAAATATGTTAAAAAATACTGCAAAATTGGAAGATTAACGGTAACTTTGTGCCTATTATTTGATAAATTTACGTCCCCGACTAAGAAAATACTTTTTTTATTGCTTCTTAATTCCACAGCCATCTTTTAAATGTCAAACAATAGGTGTTAATCACGAGATTAATTGAGAACAAATGACAAACACCGCGAATACGCACCGCTACTGCCGCGCAACATGTTTCGATGCAAGTCGGCACGGGTTATCGTACTCCAAATAAGGTAAAAATTTATTTCCGAGTGTTTTAGAGGCAAACAAACAAAACTAAGACCTATGCGTTACAAATTTAAAACTTTGAAAAATAAGGGACACCCTAGTGTACGTGTACATGCAGATAACGATAGTGTAATGTCTATCAATACTTTTGAAAAACGAACAGTAGCGAGCCACCACACATGTAAAGCTCACTCGCCTTCGTGAATTGCAACAACTTTAATTAAATTATGCAACGCGAAACTTCATAATTGAATTATTCTTTATGTCTTTTTATTAATCCACATTTTCTTTTGTTCCAGAAACAATACTGTAACACGAGAACCGAAATCTGCTGCCGGATTGAAGTCTCCTCAGTTGGAGCTGGAAGCGTTCAAGGTTCGCTTGGTGTCGGTTCTGCCACCTTCCAAGGCTCGAATGGCCAGGGTTCTGGGCTATTCGTCAGTGGACAGTCAAGCCAAGCTGGCCAGAGCTTTGGTGCTGGGCAATCCGCTTTTGGGCAAGGCCAGGGCAGCGGCCAAAGTGGTTTTAACAGTCAAGGCAGCGGGCAAAGCGCTTTTAACAGTCAAGGCAGTTCGCAAAGTGCGTTTAGTGGTCAAGGCAGTGGCCAAAGTGGTTTTAACAGTCAAGGCAGCGGGCAAAGTGGTTTTAACAGTCAAGGCAGTGCTTTTAGTGGTCAAGGCAGTGCTTTTAGTGGTCAGGGCAGCGGACAAAGTGCTTTCAGTGGTCAAGGCAATGGAGGACAGAGTACTTTTAACGGTCAAGGAAGAAGTGAAAGTGCCTTCAGTCAAAGCAGCGGTCAAAGTGCTTTTAACAGTCAAGGCAGCGGTCAAAATGCTTTTAACCAAGGCAGCGGGCCTAGTGCTTTTAACAATCAAGCCAGGGGCGAAAGTTCTTTTAGCAGCCAAGGGAGGGGTGAAACTAGTTTTACCAGTCAAAGGGGTGAAAATTTTGGTAGTCAAACTGGACAAAATGCTTTCGGTGTTCAAGGAGGCAGTGCTTTGGGAAACCGAGGGAGCGGTAGTGCTTTTGAGAGAGGGCAAAGCTCGTTTGAAAGCAGCCAAAGCTCTTTCGGAAGTCAAGGACAGGGTGCTTTTGGGAATGGGCAAGGCTTTGGTTCTCGGGAAACGCAAACTTCTTCGTTTGGCGCAAATAACTTTGGATCTTCGACCTTTGGTGCTGGTGATAGAAGCGCGTTTGGGCAAGGAACGCAAACCAGACAGGGAGCTGGTTTCCAAGGGTCTAGCACGTTCGGTGCTGGGCAAGGAGTGTTGGCGACTGGGTCATTTGGGTCGAACTCAGGTTGGTATCTGGTCATTTAGTCTCCCGAAAAACGACCATTTCTGCTTTACCTAGGGCAAATGGATTCGGTCTACACTACCCATGATATCCAGACCAATTGATGAGGCCCGACGTTGTGGAGAGGATATCTTATCATACTGTATTTTCCATCGTAATAGGTAGGATGCAAAAAAGCTACAAGTACATGTCATAGGGAGAAGAAGGTGCTTAGTTAAAGGACTTAGCACATTTATCAACTCGGAAAGGGATCGAAACCGTATCAAGTCGAGGCGGTCAGTATTCTTTTAGTATGAAATTCCATACTGCAACGCACACTTATCCGCACCGTAAAGTATACGCCTCACCTCGCGGTTGACAGCGCGCGAAAGACGATGACAGCTCCCGAAAGGCAATACGGTGTTGATCCCTTTCCGAGTTGATAAGTCTGCTATGACCTACCCAGAAATACATCGTGCTATAAATGAAACACGGCAGTTTTTGGCTCTTGGATTATAGACACAGTCCAGTTCGATATGAGGCAATGCCTATACTTCCCAGTGGGTCACTACAAAGGATGAAGATTCTATAGGTCAATGCTTTTAACTGCTTAAAAAGCTTACTAATTTAACTTAATTCTTTTCCAAATTTTCTAACAATCAATTGGCAATAACAATAATTGGTGGTTTTAAAATTTAAGTAAGATTAGTAATATTCATTGAAGGAAGAATATTTTTTTATTGATTCTTGCAATCATTATGATGGAGGGAGAGCTGAGTTTCATGATTTCTTCAGTACAAGAGATCTTTTCAATTGGTTTTCAATTAAACTTACAATTGGCATAAGTTCCAAGTCGGATCCAAAGAGTATAACATAATGAATCAACAGCATATTTCTGAAAAACAGAAATTCAGAAATTTATTTTATTTTTGCAAGTAGGCTTTTAAAAGGCACTTACACGTCCCAGTATTAACCCTACCGTTACTTCGGGACAATAAGTGAGAAGAAACTCAGCCACTAAACTCAGTTAAGAACCCGTTTTTTTGACTGTTTGTTTGACTAACATTATTTTCAACAGGATCCTCAAGCTTTGGAGCCCAAGGCCAATCAGCGTTCGGTGCGACCAACAACAGAGGAACAAGCAAATTCGGTGTGTCCGGATCAGTCGGAACTGGACTTGCACCCCCTGCTAACAAAATCAACAACGTATATAAATCCACTAGCCAGTCCAACTTCGTCGAGACGGATTCCTTCTCAGCTGGCAGTGAGGTCGCTGGCGTGTTCCGACCTGGCGCAGGCCCTGGTCTGAAGCCTGGAATTCCTTACCTACCTCCAGTAGACACTGTGACCCAACCTTCCTTCATCAGCTCTACTTCTGTCCCTTTCACCACCACCCCTAAACCTTTCGTTCCGGTCCGCCCTCCAGTGACTCCCCCTAGGCCCTACCTTCCTCCTGTCACTGTAACTACCTCCACGTCTGCTCCAGGATATCTGCCTCCAGATGTAGTACCTGGTGAATCTAAAGATCCACCACCGTATTACGTCACAGGATCGCTTTTAAAGGAACCATTCTTAACCAGTAAGTTATTTTTTGTAATTTAAACTAAATCAAATCATTTATTTAGTCTTACGCCCGTATTCACAAACGATGCTTGCTTAAGTGGAGCAGCAAATCGAACGCATAGCGTTAAATAGAGCTCTGTGATTGGTTCGTGTGTCACCCTGTGCGTCCACGCGCACTGTGAGACCTCATAATAATGTTTGTGAATACGGGCGTTTGGCGTTTTCCAGTCCGCCTCCATGCGTAGAACAAATGCTATCTAGTTCTGCTCATCATCATCATCGTTTCAGCCATAGGACGTCCACTGCTGAACACAGGCCTCAATTATTTCCATGTTGATCTGCAGTACCTGTAATAGTATAATATTTATTATCTAATTTACCATCTTTCCACCAGCGCCGTCGCCCGCCATCCCAGACACCCCTTCAGGATGCGCTGCGGCTCTGAAGTGTACCCCCATTGAGTTCTGTACAGCTGAGGGAGTCATCTCCACCACCCCTGTTGTTCTGACCAGAGACCAGGAGGCGTACAGAGTGCCTTTGACGGTAAGTCTAAGTTTCTACTGATTAATTTCAGTCAATGACAGTTAATTCTCAGACAAACGACCTTCACTGGTTGGGTTTTTGTAGGTCAAGCTGTAGATCCTGGCTGCACAGGAGTTGCAGCGGTGGGAACGAGAGGTGGGAATAGTTCCATTTAAATTCGTTTCGCTCTTGTCAGAGCGGTCGTGGTCACGTTGAGGCATTCGCGTCGGTTGTAGAGGTGAATTCAGCTCTCCGCGCGATCTCTCGCCATCTCTATCTGTTGGCAGACTGCCTGGTGCAGTCATATATGTTGTTAGCCACTGCCGGATAATAGGCCAATGATAGGTCGCTCGACCTGTCATTGGCCTATGATCGCGCCGGCGATGGCGATCTGCACGTATTGGCTTAGTTACTTGATCCCGCAAAACTGAATTGCCATGAAAACGAGCCCTAAGTGAACGATACTCGTTATTCTTCCAACAGGACTGCAAAGACGTTGGAACCGGTACAATCGGCAAGTGCTGCAGAGACCCGCTCTACACCGATCCCTGGCCCACCAACCAGCTCGGCAAATGGGTGCCCGGCGTATTCGGTGGGAACGACGGGAAATATGTGCCCGACAGCAATCCTCAATCAAACAATCCTCGCGGGCAGGTCACTGGAAGACCGCCGGTCACTGGTTCAGTGATCCGAAACGAGTACAAGTAAGTAATACCTCAGTAAGGCTATTGACAATTTCATTCTTTTGGCGGAGTTTTGGGCTGACGCTATGTAGGTTTTTGTCGACAAGAAGAAGAAGTAATACCTCATTGTTTTATTAGTCACTAAAATCCGGTCGCGGAGCAGATAGAATTACGTCCAATGACCCCAAGCTACCTACTGCGGCCGCCCGCACAGTGTGTGTGTGAGCGCGACATCTATATAATTACACGAGACCGATAAGGATGCATAGCTTAGGGTCATTGGACGAAATTCTATCTGTTCGGCGACCGGACTTTTAGCTTCTTCGCCCGTGATAAATTTTATCTGTCACAGAAAAATTTTATCGCGCGCATCCCTATATTATAATACCTATTATCTTCTTAAAATCCGGAAAAATCGGAGAGTTCTTAAAGTATCCTGGCGATATTAGAAAACTAGTCTTAAAAATAACGTTACTAAGAAATTAACAAAAGAACTCTTTCACAGGCCCTCAACTCCTGGTCCCTATGGTCCCAACCAAGTGACCCCTGGATTCCCCTCAAGCACCGTATCGTCCTTCAAAGGACAGGGCTCAGTTACATCATTCGGGCAAGGACAGTACAGCCAAGGCGGTGTAGGACAGTACAGCAAAGGAGGTCAAGGTCAATACACTGTGGGAGGCCAAGGTCAATACACTGTGGGAGGCCAAGGTCAAGTCTCGCAAGGCGGCAAGACTCAGTTCGTCCAGAGAGAACAGACTCAGTTCGGCCAAGGCGGACAAGGTCAAGTTGGAATTGGAGGACAAGGTCAAGTCGGAATTGGAGGACAAGGTCAATTCGGGATTGGACAACAAGGACAGATTGGAATCCAACAAGGTGCGTAACTAACTATAATATTATCAGGTCGTTCAGTCTCCATTGCAGGAGCACGACCCTCTAATTTACCAGACGAAAATGGATGAATATTTTAATAACTTTTGACATAATATTATTTATTGACATTTGTTTTTTATTATTATTTTAAATTTTCTATTAACATATTGTACATCCGAAATGGATAACTGTTGAAGCCATTAAATTATTGTTACCACCTTTTGTACACAGTTTTGACAATAAAATTATGATTATGATTATGACTATGAGGATTTGGTCTACACTCCCCACGCTGGCCAGACGGGTTGAGGAGGCAACATACAGACCAAAAAAATATTTGGTAACTGAGTCAATACTTAAACTAAATCATAAATTGCTTAAACAAAATTCATCTCAAAGCAGATTATTTATTGCCATACTTCTGCATATGAAATATTAATTAACTTGTTGCAAATTGAATGCTAATACTTATCTAATATTTTACAAAATCATAGTTTTACTGCTCTTTAATGGCCAGCAATAATTATCGATGCATCTAAAATCAGATTTTATGACTAAAGTTATAAACAGAAGCTCTGATTTTGAGTTTTATCACACTAATGGATTTATAAATGATTAGCATACGAGATGGTGTAATGCTGATCACAGATATGTGTCAAGATGTGTACAAATGTAACACACAAGTATTACAGTTATCGCCAAATAGTTCGTAACACCCAAAGTAGCCAAAAAGTTCGCAACACGTCTTTGTTACAATTGGAATAAGGTTGTGTTGTCAACTTTTTGGCCACTTTGGGTATCAAATAGTTTGTGACACCCAAAGTGGCCAAAAATAAATGTTTTGCAAAGTTTGACACTTAGCAAATGCGAAATCCCATACAGATTTCACAAATTGGAACAGTTTTTGCAAAGATGGTTCACTTGGTTTTTCACAAATATTGACAAATGACTGGTCACAGTTTTGGCGCATCTTCACAAACATCTTGACAATCTGTGACTGGCATGTTATTCTGATCGAATTATACGTTTTATAGCTTCACCAATAAAATGGCATTCTTGAGACGCTGCCAAATAGGACGTAACTCGGGCATGTTACCCTTTTACAAATGAGCTGCAAATGCTGCAATTGAGTCATGCATTGTTACATTCATATGATCATAGACATGGTTATTATGACTCCCCACAGACAGACTAGAGCGCTTTCACATTATGGCGTTAGAAGCGCGACAGCAGCGCGGCAGCGGCGTTTCTATAATGTGAAGGCATCCGCTGTCACATAGTATGAAATATTCGGCAGCGCGTCTGTCACGCGTTTGAGGAGCTGCTAAATCGCCTTAATGTGAAAGCGCTCAATCGGCCAATGGTTTGGTCGGCTTCTAGTTTGTATGAAGAATCGGCCGATACAAATCGGCCATACATGTGAATTTTTTATACTTACTGATTAACAGTCCGACGGGGTGTCCTTAATAGGGTATTTGCATAGAGATATAGAGAGCCAACTAATGCGCTGAGTGGCGCATTAGAAATTGACACAAACAAAGTAATCAAAATATGTGCTCAATATCCACTGCGGCATCAGTACTCAACGTTCGAATAATATTTAGTACTACGCAAGCAATGTAAACTGTTTACATTATGACGTCTGCAGCAATGTGTTCTGTTTTTGGGCATATTGCTGCGACACCGGCCCCGCCCCCTTATCACATCTCCCTTTAGTTTCTGTGATCTGTTGGTATTTGATACCATTTACCAATAATAATATGTCCAAAACGCAACTCTTTAACAATCATTCTGGTCTTAAAATCCCATCTAATTACTTTTCAATCAACTGCAAATGCCATCGGCGATCGTCTCATCGGCCATTTCAAGTCAGGGGCCAGGCTCTCCTGAAAAATTATCCTAGGGCAAACTCCAATGGGCAAAATTCACCCAACCATAAAATTTCACAGGTGGTGGCCAGACGCAGACTGCACAAGGAACTCAATTCAGCACTAACACCCAATCGTTTGGCCAAAAGGGTCAGGGTCAAGTCGTGAGGCAAGGTCAAGGGTCATACGTTGAACAAGGACAAGGAAGTTTCGGAGTGGGAGGAAGAGGACAATACACTGTGGGAGGACAGGGTCAACTGGAGATTGGAGGAGGCGTAAGTATCGTTCGTTTCAGCCAAATGACGCCCAGTGTTGGACAAAGGCCTCCTCAAGGATTTCCACAGTGATTGGTTCTGCGCTGCCCGCATCCTGGTGCTTTCCGCGACCTTTATCTAATCGTCGGACCATCTAGTGAGAAACCTGCCACATCACGTCTTCCGGCTCTGAGGCATCAAAACACTTTTTTTTAATTCTAAATCTAGTGAAACGCAAAAGCATATTTTCTATGTACAGTTAAACAGTGAACTTTAAATAACTATTCAGTTAAATAAATACTTATTTATTTAACTGAATAGTTATTTACTTAGTAACTTTACTTAGTAATTAGACAGGCGTTATTCTGCCAAGAATTAAAAAGGAAAAGAAAGCTGGTTCCTAATTCCATTGATATGATATTATGAGATTTTATGGATATTTTTAACTAGAAGTTTCAAGGATATTTTCTCCTCAGGGTGCCCAAGGTCAGTTCACCCAAGTCCAAGGAGAAACCCAGAAGACATTCGGCCAAGGATCAGGATTCGGTATCGGTATCGGCCAAGGACAGACTGGTTTCGGCATCTCTACTGGTTTCGGCCAAGGGGTCATTCAGGGTCAAGGTGAATATGACAATAGTGTTTTTTATCTTTTAGTTTGCCAAGAAAAAAAATCTTTTAGTTTTAGACATTAAAACTATTAAATTTTTCAATATCCGTGCTTTTTGCCCTTGAGTTTCAAAGATGTAGTTCTTTACTGATTGATGTACGATGTGTGTACTGAGACATCTCGCGGACATTTTGAGAGAATTTAAAGTGATTTTGCAGTTTTGTGTCATTTGCCTGCACTCGTGCACGTTGACTAACATAATGGTAATCCACCATTTTTAACTTCCGCGTTCCATTTCAACTAAAATAGATAACCATGGGTCTCAACGCGATATTTTTATATGAATTACATAGTACGTATTATGTACTCACGGTGTTTCGGCTGCTATGCTGCAGCTGTGGTCACAAGCATATCATAGCAGCCGAAACGTCAAGCCGTGAGTATAATTAAGTAACTCATTTAAATATGTCGCTTTCAGACCCGTGTTTCTCTATTTTAGTAATCCACGATTATTTTAAAACAATAATAAACTAAGCAAAAGTTTAAAAAGTTAAAACAAAACTGCCAAATATTACGACTCTCTCACTGACAAACGATGCTTGCATAAGTGAAGCAGAAAATCGAACGCACAGCGTTGAATAAAACTCTGTGATTGGTTCGTGTCATTCGTGTGTCACCCTGTGCGTCCACGCGCACTGCTAGACCTCATAGTAATGTTTGTGAATACGGGCGTCTTTCCCCAAGAAGACATGAGTTGAAGCCAAGTTCTTCCTTCAATCAGGCCAAGGAGTCCGCCAAGGTTTCGGTTCAGCCATCCAGCAAGGTTTTGGCCAAGCGATCGTCCAAGGGGAAGGGGAAACAAGCGCTTCCGAAGGAGTGTACCGAGTGTTCTTGGGACGATACAGCGGCGGCAACGGACAGTGCGGACTTCTGAACGTAAGTCATCATCATCATCATCTGAAGGTCATAGCACACTTGTCAACCAGGAAAGGGATCAACACCGTATCGCCTTTCGCGCTCTGTTATTGCTGTCAATCGCAAGGCGAGGCGTTTACGTTAGGCCCAGAACAGACGGTGATACGCAACTGCAACGAAACTGCAACTGCTAGTTACTTTTGAGTTGCATCTCGAGACCACACATGTTTGAAAGTTTCAAACTGGTCGCGTCATGTGTGGTGTCTCAACGGGCGCTATGGCAGAAACTTAGACGCAACTCAAAAGTAACTAGCAGTTGCAGTTTCGTTGCAGTTGCGTTTCACCGTCTGTTCTGGGCCTTACGGTGCGGATAAGTGCGTTGCGGAGTTTCATACAAAGAAGACTGACCGCCTCGAATTGATACGGTTACGATCCATTTCCGGGTTGACAAGTGTGCTTTGTTCTTTATGGAAACTTTATCTCACCTTATTATAATTTAGCCGTAGATCTACGCGTGAATTTTTACGTTAAAATACATCCTTTAACTTTGTCATTACACAGCATAATCTAACTAATGTTAGTTAATAAAACAAAAACGTCACGTTCCATCTAATTCGATGGGTGCCTGGAACAAAGCCGCAATCGACAAAACACAATTTTACAGGAGAAGAGATTTAGTGTCAATTTTGAATAATTCTAAACTACGAGACGTATCAAAACGGTTTGTATATCAAACGATGCGTTATTTTTTCTGGAGTAACATTGAATGTGCATAAGGTTATAGTGCTTAGAATATACTTTAAAAAAGGTAGAAATACATATTGCCGCTTCATACATTGAAAGTCGGTTCCGTAAGAGTCCATTGTGGTTTTATTTCGGTAAAAAGTGTGCAATTAATCAAACAGCAATAGTGTATTGCAGCCTCGGGCGCTGATCTGAAGGATACAGTAATAGCCGTTTGCTTGTAGAAGATTTAAATAAAAGTTTTAACATTGTATATGGCACGATTATTCCGGTCAACAAATTTTAAATGGTGAATGGGAATAACGATTCAATATCCATAGTGCTTTTGGCGTATCAAAACGGTTTGTATATCAAACGATGCGTTATTTTTTCTGGAGTAACATTGAATGTGCATAAGGTTATAGTGCTTAGAATATACTTTAAAAAAGGTAGAAATACATATTGCCGCTTCATACATTGAAAGTCGGTTCCGTAAGAGTCCATTGTGGTTTTATTTCGGTAAAAAGTGTGCAATTAATCAAACAGCAATAGTGTATTGCAGCCTCGGGCGCTGATCTGAAGGATACAGTAATAGCCGTTTGCTTGTAGAAGATTTAAATAAAAGTTTTAACATTGTATATGGCACGATTATTCCGGTCAACAAATTTTAAATGGTGAATGGGAATAACGATTCAATATCCATAGTGCTTTTGGTAAATCAGGCAGTTTTAAAGATAAAATTCTGAAAAAAATTCAAAACGTGTATAGGGACCCGCAGTTTACTAAAATCACTTAATCGGAAAACTGCTGCTATGGCTATTGCGGCTTTGTTCCAGGCACCCATCGAATTAACTATAATAATTATACCAAATCTTGTTAGAACAGACTTTATACTTCCGTCACCTTGACATCTAGAGCGGCCATCTTGAATTTTTTAACATAATGAAAAATAGATCAACTAATTTAAGCAATAAAGTCCAAAATCCAGTCTGATCTCGTAAATGTCAGTTACACAGTCATAGAAATTGGAACACCTTGATATTTTTACAAAAAGTTTTCGTAACTCTATAGCCTAGGTTCATCATCATCATTTCAGCCACAGGATGTCCACTGCTGAACATAGGCCTCCCTCAATGACTTCCACCTCGCCCGGTTGGTAGCGGCCTGCATCCAGCGCCTTCCTGCTACCTTTATGAGGTCTTCGGTCCACCTTGTGGGCTTTATACCTCGACGACCTCATAAAGGTGACAGGAAGCCATGTTCATCAGGGATCATTTAAGATTCTAAAATGGTGAAGAATTTTTCAAATCGGTCCAGTAGTTTCGGAGCTTATTCAAACAAACAAAAATTAAAATATTTCCTTTTAACTAGGTGGAAAATACTAATCTTCCAAGGAAATCATATAAAATCATATTGAAAGATAGATTAATGGATAAAAACTTTATTCCAAATCTACACTTTGTCGGCCGTTTGGTGTAGTGGTTCAGAACGGACTACTATGCCGAGAGGTCCCGGGTTCGATTCCCGGCCGGGCAGAAATTGAAATGATGAATTTTAATTTCTGTGACGGGTCTGGGTGTTTTCTATGTATAATATGTATGTATTTACAAAAAAAAGTATATAAGTATGTTTATCCCGTCGTCTAGTACCCATAGTACAAGCTTTGCTTAGTTTGGGACTAGAGGCGCAGTGTAAAATGTCCAGTAATTATTTATTTTATTTATTTTATTTACACTAATATTATAAAGAGGAAAGATTTGATTGTTTGTATTGAATAAGCTCCGAAACTACTGGACCGATTTGAAAAATTCTTTCACCATTAGAGTCTTAAATTTGATGAACATGGTTTTATGAGATCGTCGAGGTATGAGGCCTATAAGGTGGACCAACGACCTCATAAATGTAGCAGGAAGGCGCTGGATGCAGGCCGCTACCAACCGGACGATGTGGAAATCATTGAGGGAGGCCTATGTTCAGCAGTGGACGTCCTGTGGCTGAAATGATGATGATAAACATAGGATATAGAGTTATGACAACTTTTACTGGCGGTACGAAGTTCGCCAGGTAAGCTAGTGTTTTCAAATCACAAAGGTTCAGTTGAAGATCGAGATGATAAATTATAAAAATATTTTATGTAACCCGCCTTTATTAAGCTATAAATTGGTGCGATCTCAAACGCAGCCAAACCGTATTAAAATTAATATATTCATAGAGTTATAAGTTACTAAAATGACCTTTTCAAAATGTTGCAACGAATTCTAACGCCATCGTGACTTATTAGATTCTCTCTGCTCTAAATACTAAAAAGCTGAAAAAATTGTTTTTGTTTGTTTGAACGCGCTAATCTCAGGAACTACTGGTCCCAATTGAAAAAAATATTTTTGTGTTGGATAGCCCATTTATTGAGAAAAGTTTTAGGCTATATAACATCACCCTACAGCAAATAGGGGCAAAACTGTAAAGAAAACTGTTGCAAAAACGGGAAATATTATTCAAACTATTTTCACGTATGAAATCGCGAGGACAGTTAGTTAATTAATAAAAATGTTTTACCTATTCTAAACACTACAACTGGTGTAGAATGTCACCTTTACCGAATCTGTAATTATTTTGTTAATAAAGTATACCTACAAAGTTACAATAACACTGATGATGCACCAATCTAAAATTAACTGAGCGCTAATCGATTGTGATAATCGAAATCGCGATCGATCAATCATCGATACAGTCCCATCACTATGCGAATGCGGGTCAAGTGATCTTAGGAATTTTGGACGTCACAGAGTTGCGACTGCGACAAGAATTTATTCATCTCTGCATAGTATAATAGTCGGTCTGTTTGTCTTTACATAAGCTTCATTATCAGGTCGTTTAGTCTCCACTGCAGGAGCACGTCTCTAATTTACCAGAGGCAAGAGGATTTGTCCTACACTCCCCACGCTGGCCAGACGGGTTTGAGAGGCTTGATGTTCGTATATTTGTCCCTTAGTCACTCTTACGACATCCTTTAATGAAATATTGTTGTCAATAGTGACTAAGTTTCTTGCGCTGCTTCTTCTCAACACTGGCCCATTTATTGTCCCGAAGCAGTGGTGGAAAAAGAGGCTAACAAAGGTGACTGAGTTTCTTCCGCCACTTCTTCTCAGCACCAGCCCATATGTTGTCCCGAAGTGGTGGTAGGGCAAGCTATATTTGGGACGTGTATAAGTGCCCTGGAAAGGGCCTATAGTACTGAATAAACTACTTATTTCATTTCATTTCAATTCACTGGGATGTGTAAAGGTGCTTTTTAAAAGCTTACAAAAATAAATGACTTTTATGAGTAGGTATCTCTATGGCGTCCATGTTTCGTTTATGGTGTTTGATAGTTTATAACACTTAGTTCATGGTTATTATGAAATTTCCAAAGAAAACTCGTTTTGTGTGTAATCAGACGACATATTTATGTTTGCCGGGTTCTATTTGAGCGAAAAATTTAACTTTTTTGTAGCGGATATATAATTTGGTGGACAAACCAACTAAAGACTACCGTAACACACGCGATCTGTTTTAAAACTTTAGTAAAATAGTTTTTTTGCGATCAGATAAGAGTTGCATAGAAAACTGTCATGAATATTACTTTATTTATTTACTAGCTTTCCGCCCGCGGCTTCGCCCGCGTGGAATTTTGTCTGTCACAGAAAAACTTTATCGCGCGCGTCCCTGTTTCAAAAACCGGGATAAAAACTATCCTATGTTCTTTCCCGGGACTCAAACTATCTCTATGCCAAATTTCATCAAAATCGGTTGCGAGGTTTAAGCGGGAAAGCGTAACAGACAGACAGACAGACAGAGTTACTTTCGCATTTATAATATTAGTTGGGATACTTCAATGCCAAAAATATTAACACTAGGCGAACTTAATGCCATAAGGCATTCTCATCCAGTTTACCTTTGGGTTATGCAGAAAAAATAGTTTGGCAGTATCTTTAGCTAGGTCCCCAATGTGTTGTCTGTTATTTAAAACTAGCAGTGCCCCGCGGTGTTGCCCGCAATAAAACGTAGCCTATGTGTTAATCAAGGGTGTCAGCTTACCCCAAACCAAATATTATTAAAATCGCTCCAGCCGTTTAGACGTGGAAAAGTAACAAACATACACGCTCACAAACTTTCGCCTTTATATTAGTGTGATTACATTTCACTTCTTCTTACGAGTACTTACATTAATAGGGGACTAACACCATTCCACAGCCATCAAATGAACCCTTTTTCACCAAAACTCTTGTCTCCAGGGTCAGAAGCCTTACGGAAACCGCAACGACCTGGAGGTAGATTTCGCCGAGATCCCATGGCAAGCTATGGTCCTTCTCCAGACGAACAGAAGCCTCCTCTGCGGTGGAGTCATCACCAGACCTGATGTAGTGGTTACTTCGGCTTCCTGTGTTGATGGGTGAGAAATACCTTCGTTTTAACTAATGATTAAAGGCACGGGACTATTCCCACCTCTCGTTCCCATAGTTGCAACTCCTGTGTAGCCAGGATCTACAGCTTGACCGCCAATTACCCAACCAGTGAAGGCCAAGTTTGTCACGGGGAAAGTTAAAAACTGTCATTGGATCCGGAAAGGAAATCCATCTAAAACCAACTCTCTCTTCCAGCCTCGACGCCAAGAACGTTCTGATCAAGGGAGGAGAATGGAAACTTGGCGTGGACGACGAGCCACTGCCATTCCAGATCGTCCAGGTCAAAACCATCGTCAAGCACCCGTACTACAAGATCGGCAGCCTGAAGAACGACGCCGCCATCTTGGTTCTCTCTGAGAACTTACGACTGGCCAAGAACATCCAGCCCATTTGCCTGCCCGAGTCGGGAGAGACTCTGGACGCTTTTTACAACGGAGCTGGGGAGTGCATCGTGACTGGTTGGGGCAAGCAGGTTCTGCAAGGTAAGCTTAGCAACTAAATTACAGGTTTAACGCATAGACCAGTAAATGCTTGAGGTATAGGAGGATTGACATCTGACAATAGTCTGAAGCAATCTGAAGTCTCGCTGACTTTTGACGACACCAAAACACCCTTCCGTGCTGCTTTTCTACCTCAGACAGACACTGACTCTTTTATTCATTAGAGACCAGTTACTAGGTAGTTACACTTTTTCAGGATTTGATCGGTCATTTACATTACATAGACATATCAGTCAATTGAAGTACTTTTGATGAGCTGATAAATTAATTGAAATACTTTATGACCAAATGCTGTTCCTCCACAAGTTAAATAAAAATTAGTGACGAAAGAAACCATCGTTTTATGGGTTAGATCAATAAATTATTTCGGAGAGTCATTCAGGTAGTCAATACTTTATTGCATTTCACAGTGTAGATTACGGTCTTAAGTCACCTTAACAAAATACCCTTAGGTACTTATTATTTATTTATTTATTTATTATTCATTATTGAGCAATTACATATTTTATCCAAATAGCGTCCTAAATCCTCTTTAGGTTTGTCTAGACTAGACATTATTGTTCTCTATACAAATAAAAACAAACGTTTTAGTATAAGCATTATGTCGCCAGAACAACAATGTTACCAGCTTTATAAGTTTCGTTCTAAATATCAACCCAAAACAACAATGTTTACAGCATTGTTGTGTGTCGGCAGTCAGATAGCCAGTTCCTCGAGGATTACAATGACATATGACAATAACTTTCCACACAGCTTGACCACAATCTATACCAATAATACACAATATTCTAGGTATATTTTACGAATACGAACCGGATCCATTGGGTAACCTCACCCCGGGGTCCAAGTAATCAATTTTAGCAGTTTTATAACACTGTGACATAAGAAACGAAAATGCGGACTTATTTTGTGAGCGCACGATACATTTCGACCGATTTTTTACGTGGTTTGTTTTGGTATAATATTGATGTTACAAGATGTGTGACATAAAATATTAAACACATGCAAAGAGGGGCTCTTTAATTTTTATTTATATTGATTTTTTGATATTCATAAGTGACAAATCTTAGTCAAATTGAAATATAGACATTTCATTTTATGGATGCTTGGGTACGCCACCGTTTCGTGTAGATTTATTTAAAAAGAAACTCATTTAGATCCTCCTCCTTTTTTGGAAGTCGGTCAAAAAGTAGGTTGTCCAAATAACTATTTATTTGAAACTTTAGTACACGTTTGTAATGAAGATACATAAGAGTTTAATGCCATAGAGAATTTGCACTCAGTTAATCTTTGTGCCAAACTGAATCTAAAGCATCTTATGTGCAATAGCACATAGAATCAGAATACTTACAGATGTTTATTAGAAGATTATAAAGTTCAAAATGGGATTTTTTTCTATAAGTAATAAAAAACTACTTTTAAATAATCTCCATTCTCGTGTATTCAGTATTCCAAACTTGCAATTAAAAAAAATACCAACCGAATTGAGAACCTTCTCATTTTGTTGAAGTCGGTTAGTAAAAAAATAAAACCAAAACCAAATAAAACCAATGTCGCATTCGATAAATCTCGTGCGACTCCATAATACCGGCTTGTTTATGAAGATATTATTTAATGCGTTATCTTGTTTATTTATTTAGATTACCTACTTAACTTTACCAATATGTCAACCTAATCTTTTGACGTGTACCGCATTCCTTAAGTAAAAGGGTCTGTAATACTTGGCGGGAAAGTCAAGCGGCATGTTTACCCGGTTTCCACCAAAGCGGAGCAGAGCGGAGAAATGTCGGACCGTCAAATGTTAGCGGAGAAGTGTCGGACCGTCAAATGTTAGCGGAGAAGTGTCGGACTGTCAAATGTTAGCGGAGAAGTGTCGGACCGTCAAATGTTAGCGGAGAAGTGTCGGACCGTCAAATTTTTCTATACAATTTGACAGCTGTGCGGAGCGGAGAAGAGAAGTGGAAATAATGATTGGTGGTAACCGACGTCGTATGCGTGGTTTAGATGTAGCAATAAAACTTTTTTGTCATCTGTCATCCGCTTTGCAATGGAAGGAAGTCGAACCTTAACTTTGAACTCCTCTTGTTCTTCTGAATAATTTCGTTGCGGGTCCAATGACAGTTTAACTTTCCCCCGGGACGAACTTGACCTTCGTTGGTTTTTTTTGGCGGTCAAGCTGTAGATCCTGGCTACACAGGAGTTGCAGCGGTGGGAACGAGAGGTGGGAATAGTCCCATTAGCAATAAAAATTGCAGAAGTTGACTTCCGCAAGCTGTTTACCACTGTACATATATGCTGTGGCAAGCCAACTTTTGCAAGGTTTACACAGTGGTGACAGCTTGCGGAAGTCCCATGTAACCCCCATGAAAACAAAATTCCTGTTGTGTGGTAAGGTAGGGGGTCACTTAAAAATTAGGGATTGATGGTGAAAAAGGGCATAAACCTCGCTTTACTTTTTGAGAGTTTTGACAGCTCATAAAAGTCATCGATTTTCGCAAATAGGCTTCTAAAAAGCGCTTTTGACTTTCGAAAAGTATGTCAAATTGACTAGGGTGTCCTATATTTGGCAAATGTAGACACTTGGCCTGCAATGTCCCATCTCAAGTGGCAAGTAAACAAAAGTAATGTAAGAAAAGACTTCACAAAGGTCGCCAGAACCCGCTTTTCGTTTTTACCACCATAGTGTTAAAATTTGGCAAACATAACCTCAAAATTCACACACCAAAACCCTACCTTAACTTTATCAAAACAAGGCTGAAAATCGTTTAGCAAATTCCCAAACTAAAATTGCTCAGGCGCATGCAAAAATTACAATTTTGCGTTGTTATTTTAAGAAACCGTATTACAAAGGGTGTGAGTTGAAAATTTGAGTTTTCAGATGTAAGAGTTAAGTTTGTCGATATTTAATATACCGTTCGTGGAATATGGGCTTTTACATAACGATTTTTGGTTTATGTAAAGTCCTATTTTATGTATTCATGAGTTAAATAGGTGACATGGTAAGACGCCTGTATTCACAAACGATGCTTGCTTAAGTGAAGCAGCAAATCGTTGAAGCGTTGAATAGAGCTCTGTGATTGGTTCGTGTGTCACCCACGCGCACTGTAAAACCTCATAGCAATGTTTGTGAAACCGAGCATTAGGGACGTACGAACTGAAATCGCTGTTGGGATTTCGGTAGCTTGACGGATTAGCAAGCTGAAGTAGCAATGGTCAGGGCACTAGTACGCAGAACTGACGGCCGATGGGGCAGCAAAGTTCTAGAGTGGAGGCCGCGTACCGGAAAACGTAGTGGGCATCGTAAAGGTAGCAAGAAGGCGCTGGACGCAGGCCGCTACCAACCGGGCAACATAAAAAGCACTGGGGAGGCCTATGTTCAGCAGTGGACGTCCTATGGCTGAGATGATGATGATTCCGGTCAAAAATTGCGTGTTTCCCAAAAATTCCTTACCAATATTGCCTTACGACCTGACGATCCGTATGTCACTAGACGAAAATCAACTTACGGCGAAAAGGCGAGAGAGAGCGCGAATGTCGGGAGCTTTGTGGGTCAGTGTCAAGTGGTAGCGTGCGCAAAAAATTGGGAATTTTTTGAGAAAAATAATTTTTGAGATTTTTTTGTTTTTTCGAGGAAGCCTTACAATTTCGTGCAAGTGCAAGTTATCGTGCGCAAAAAATAGTATTTTTTGTGAAAAAGTATTTTGGTTTTTTTTTGAGGCAGTTTTATAAATTCGCCCAGTGCCCAGATTTTTTGATATATTTTTTTCATACCTACATTTTCACATTATTTTGTGTGGTAGATATGGGAGTAAAAATCATTAGACAGGGATATTCCCAAAGGCCCAGATTGTTCTTATTTTTCCCATCGGGTCCATGAAAAGATGGAATGAATTTTGAGTATCTTAACTATGTCAGAATATTAAGCTTGTTAAAAAAATAATAGGAAGAAGCTCATTTTGTTTCTTTATTCATGGCTAGATGGATCTTAGTCTAAAATAATTAAACTTTTAATAAAAATAAATCATGTTTAATTTTGCTTTCCAACATAAAATTCTTGTTATTTTTTGAGAAGATAGATAATATGAAATGCTGTTCACTATATTTTTAGGACATTTGATATGTCGTGTGGGTTGTAACAGACAGTGGTGTCGAATTTTACGAGCCAATTAACGTCTATTTTTATTGAAAGTATAGTTTTTTCTACCTATAAAACCATAAATATAAATAGTTTGTGGCACCTTTATAGGGGACAAAAATTATTAATTTGAGAGAATCGTCAGGTCATCTAATCTCCACTGCAGGAGCACGTCTCTAATTGACCAGAGGCAAGAGGATTTGTCCTACACTCCCCACGCTGGCCAGACGGGTTGGGGAGGCCTGATGCTCGCATGTTTGTCCCTTAGTCGCCTCTTACGACATCCACGGGAAGAGTTGGGAGTGGTCTGCTCTGTTTTATTTTGTCTACAATCCTATTTTGTTTTATCTAAAAGTTTGTTCCTAAAGTCTGCCGTAGTTAAAGCCATAAAAAGTTTGATTAGTTAATCCCAGAAAAGTACCTGGATGCGGGCAGCGTAGGACCGGTCTTTGGAAATCCTTGGGGGAGGCCTTTGTCCAGCAGACGTCATTTGGCTGAAAGAAACAAAACGGAATCCTAGAAAAGACATTGACTAAGTGATAAATTAATGAATTAATGACTAATGAACTTTGAAGAACCGCCGAAAGAGCATTCCGTGGCCTGTTCCATCTTGTGTTGACTTTGACATACAAATCAAATATAAATAAGCTGTGACCGTGAACCTTTGCTTGCCAACTTAACATATAGCATAATAAAATAGAATCAGTAGGCGTAGAGATAAATAGCATCAAGAAAGGCAACGCGGATGTGGATTTTGAATCATTTTGGATCACATCAATATATTCAATACTCACAGCCTACAAGTTATGCTTGAGAAATAAACTCTTCCCAAAATAATCTGAATAGC